AGTTATGTGGATAGCTCATTCAGAGAGGTGGTTGCACCATAGTGGAAAGGTTTGGAGGTAGATAGGAAATGGGTGAGCATCAGGCAGTCTGGTAGAAAAAGACAGATAGTGCTGGAGTCTCCTAGAGTCCTGCTGCCTCAATGGTTTTCCATTTTGGATGCTGATGAGGGAACTCATGGTGATGAACTGATGAAGGAGTTTAGAAGAGTCAGAGGTGACCTAGTTGAAACATGTAAGGACCTGAGAGGACTTAATCAGTTTGGAAGTTGAAAGCATGTTTCTTCTTATGGAAGAATCTAGAGTATTGTTTAAAAATAAGATGAGGATTCTTTTTTCCTGAGGTTTCTGTCTTTGGAATTCCCTTCCTCAAAAGACAGTAGATACGGTATCTTTAATTGTCTTTATGGCAGAGTGAGACAGATTCTTGATCACCAAGGGGATGAAAGATTAATGGGGGCATACAGGCATGTAGCATTGCGGTTTTAATCAGATCAGCCATTCTCTAATTGAATGGTGGAGCAGGCTCATTGAGGTGACTGGTCTATTCCTGTTTTTAGGCCCATATGCTCATAGCAAAGTGGCAGAACCAAAGATGCTCCTTGGAGTTTTGCAGTCCTGAAGAGTTATCAGTCTTTGCATTGGCCATGTTATTTTCTTTATTTTATCATCGGTAATATGCTTTGGAAAAATTCAGTGTCTTGTCATTATTTCAATTTTTTGTCCTAACCACCGCATTTATCTTCAAAGCAGGTTCATTGCAGGACTAAAATAGTGAAACCAGTTAAAAGACTGGTTTACCAATTGGTTCCCTAATGTTCTGATTATCTGATGGACCTTGATCTGGGCTGCTGGAACTCTCACTGCAAACAGATGGAGTCTCAAGAATATATGATGAGTAGATCACATGCTACAATCCCTGATAGCAGTTTCCTCCATGTTTGCCAGATTATTACAAGTTCCCACTCTGTGTATTATGGATGAGAGAAGTTGGTAGTTGACTGTTTTGAGCATTTATTCATGGAATCTTCAGCTGTGTCAGCAGAAATTGTCATTTCATTCCTGAAGTTTCAACCCTTTCCTTTTGAGATGCAACGACAGCCCTTTTAAAAGCATTTGCCCACCTGATTTTTCTATCCTTACCTTGATAATTTCTGATATGGAAGTTACTAAATGAAGGAGCCATGTTATAGTATATGATGAACCTATAGTCAATACTTTAAAATTTTGAACAAAAACAAACTGTGAAAATGGATGCTGCAAATTAGATGACCTTTTGCAGTACGAATTCTCCATAGTCCTGAGATGTAAGCAATGCATAATTAAGTGTGGACATTCATATGAGGTAATGTTGTATAAGTTAATAGTTCTCAAAGAGTTAATATTGAAGTTGCTATAGTTCCAAATCTGACAATCTCTCTGTCTTTGGTGGAGGCGGAGAGTCTTGCACTAGCCATCGTAGGGACCAAATGTATTCTGTACAGCTTTTGAAAGACATGGTAGTTGTGCCTGACTAATAATATAAGTTGTACTTGTTGCTATCCTGCAATATGTTATCTTGTTAACTAAGATTCTTTTCTAGATAGGCTCGCCAGTGGTCTACCACTGATAATTAGATAGATAGGTCCTAGACATAATATTAGCAATGGAGAATTGGTGGCAGGGCATACCTCAAAAAAGCTTTACCCTGTGCCACATACTGGCAAAGGTGACAGATATTATGAGGTACCAAGAGAGGCATTCGGGGCAAATACCACATTAGCCATCTAGGAAATTTACATGTTGCTTAAGGATGAAATGCAAACAGATGGACTATAACACTTAAGCCATCTCTTTTGTCCATGCTCAAACAGGAATATGCATCAAAGCACAATGTATGTTAGGCAAATGTGAATGGGTCCCCAACTGACTTCCTATTGTATCTCAATAGTTCCCCATTTCAACCCAAACTGATTTTTTTGAAATGACAACACAAAATGTTTATTCAGAGATAGTAGGAACTGCCGATGCTGGAGCCTGAGATCAAAATGTAGAGCTGGATGAACACAGCAGGCCAGGCAGCATCAGAGGAGCAGGAAAGCTGTTGTTTCGGGTCTGGACCCTTCTTCAGAATGTTTATTGACTTGACTACCCACCTTATTTGGATGAGGTCTTTGGACAGGTCACATGGATGGTACATTTTTGTTACATCCTTTTAAAAACAGAAAGAATCAACTCTGCAGATTAGCAAGTCTTCAGATGCAGTCAACCAAGATAATAAATAACAATAACTTGAGAGTAGAAAAAGACCTCTCCTGAACCTGTTCTAACTTCTGGTTCAGCTGAGAACTAACCTGATGACAATAGAGTTTGCTGAAAATCATCTGCTTTTCAAGATATTCAATCCAGCTAAAGCATTGATTCATCTAAGAAACTATGGGCCTGCTAAAAAAAACTGAAATACTATCAAGTTCTAATTGCATTTTGTGTTTACTTCATCTGTATCTAAATATTGTTGTGTGTGCAATGGTATGTGTTAGTTGAATGGTGAGAATTTGCTTTTTTGAACTTTTGTGACGTGTGGGATAATAAATAATTTTTTTGAAACTCAAAGAAGCTTGCTGCTGGAATTATTTGAGCATTGTCGAAAATAGTCACATACTGTTAAAGATTTTCATCTCGCATGCGTTAGGACATTTAACAAACATATGTAACAGGAAAACCAACATACATCTTATTGTGTTATGTATGTTATATATTAATGCATGCTCTCTGTTCTTTGCAGACAGAAATAACATGTGCATGCACCATGCCTGTGTCAGCACAACAAATAGGTGATAGCCATTCACTGGTTCACTCGCAGGGCAATGCCATGACCAATCAGTCAACCTGCCTAGTTTAAAGTTTTAATAAAGCCTGGCTGTTAACTGTCAATCAGAATTAATGGGTGCATTCTCCATGACAATGCCTCTGCCAATCAGAATCTACTTGCCAACCAATCAGCACTGTCCTTCCATGCAGTATAGAGTTGATTTTCTTTCTCCTTGAATTTATATTACTGTGAAATATTCTGTTGAATGGAAGATGAAAACTTGAACAAAATGTGCCATTCTTCAGCAATACTTAAGTTCTATACTACTGAATGACTATTTGGAATGATTTAAATTGACATCATCACTCTGGTAAGAAAATACACTCACCTCACATTAAAAATAAGAAACCACAGTGTGTGGTAGGGGATCAGTGGTGTCAGCAAGAAAGTAGACAGTTCATCATATGAAAGGATTTGCACTGAGCCAACCAGGAAGTTCAAAGTGCTTTAAAATATTTTAATTAATAATTTTAAACAGTTAAACAAATATTACCCTGTTAAGGTAAAAGCTAAAGTTTTTAAAAAAGTTTATGGTTTGTTTAGCTTTGTTCTTAAAATTCCTGGAATTTTCAGTAATTCTAGATAAATTTAACATTTCACAAATATATCATTAGCTATTCCGGGTTGTGAATATTGAGAAGTAATTGTGAAATTTGCACACTGTTACGTTGCATGTAATTGTACCGTAACATCTGCCATGTGCAGGTTGATGCGTGCACATGTCCAGATGTTCCCAGTGAGGTCGATCATGTGTCGACAGTAGATGACTCCTATGCCAGGATTCATCTGTCCAGTTGATGTCATTAGGTTCCACACATAATGATATCACACTATGAGCATGTGCTGATGGCTGGCCTGAGGCTGAGAATCTGGCAGCAGGACAAAGGCTGGTGCCAAAAGTAAAAGAGTAGGAGATTGGGTGGCATGGTGGGTCAGAGCACTACTGTCTCACAGCGCCAGGGATCCACATTCGATTCCAACCTTGGGCAACTGTGCAAATTCCACACAGACATTCTCCCCGTTTCTGTGGGGGTTTCCTCCCACAGTTTAAAGATGTACAGGTTAGGTGGATTGGCCAAGGGAGATGCAGGGTTACAAGGATTGGGTAGGGGGGCTGGGTCTGGGTGGGATGCTCTTCAGAAGGTCGGTGTAGCACGATGGGCCAAATGGCCTGCTTTAACACTGTAGGGATTCTATGATTCTAGGTGTCTGTTCTGGGGTTAGCCTCCTGTATACTTGGGGTGACAAGAAGATAGGGAGGCTGCAGGGGAAGTGCGACCGTGGGGCTGCCTCATAGGATTGAGAAGGACAGGGATACTGCAATGAAGAGAGGTGAACTTCAAACTAAATTAAAACTTTATTTTGCCATGCAGGATCTTTTATTTTGCATCCTGCAGTGCCATCTTTAGACAGGAGGCTGCTTTCCATCGCTTGAGAATGACATCAGCTTTGTTTATGTTCCTTGTGCCATTATGGTGGTATTCATAGGATGCTTTGCCATTTTTGCTTTAAATTTTTCATCCCCATAGCAATCTCTGTTACATAGACAATCCTTAGAAATTTAATATCCTTATACCCGGGAAAATGATCTTCCTTCCCAAAATTATCCAAGTTTTACTTTGCTTTTTCACTGGGTTTTCCTAAAAATCAAGGATTCCACAGTACAACTTAAAAACTCAGTTTCCCTCGTTTGACAAGATGTAAGTTATTTTTAGGTTTTAACAACAAAACTAGCAGCTTTATAATGAATGTTCATGAATCCATGATTGCAAGTGAGGTGGGTATCTGTCCACCGATCCCATGGAGAAGCATAGATTTGCTGTCAGCAGCTTCTGGATTTCCACATCATCCTGCACATGTCTAAGCGCCCAAAACTGTTGTCAATTTCAGTGGGGTAGTGATGAAAAACACTGACAATTTTACTGTGTTAATGCAGTGACATTGTAACCAATGTAAGTGAATTTCAGGCACAGAAGTAACAGGGCCTGTGTTGATGTTTACAGGAGGCATAATGTGCCTGGTCTATTTTCAAACTGATGTTTCTTCTGCAATCGGGTGATTAAAAGGCATAATCTATTCAGCAAATGCTAGCCTTTCATTTTGAATTTTCAAAACTTGTGACGGTGTGCTTTCTCACTCTATTGTCCTTCAGATATTTTCTCTCAAATATCAGACTCCAACGGAATAATGATATATGTGAAGTTTGACCAGTTTCTACGGGAGGTGCTGAAGTTGCCAACAGCAGTATTTGAAGGTCCTTCCTTTGGCTACACAGAACAAGCATCAAGGTCATGTTTTTCCCAACAGGTGAACATTTATGCAAACCTTTTAGTCTGTGATTGCTGGAAATACCTTCATATATTGAGGGGAATTTCCAGGGACATCTTGTTCATCGTCTACTGTAATTTCCATGGAAAACCTGCAGAGACCTGAGTTTAAAAAAAATGCTTACACCAATTATTTCCTGGGTTTCCAAGATTTTTCTGTTTTAGCTGGTGTCAGATGGCTAATAGAACTCCCATAGAAATTCATTACCTGCTCCGTCAAAATGTTATTTAATACTGTTAAAGGCATCTGTAATCAACAGATTTTCAAAAAAAGAGATTGTCATGAATTATAATGATTGTGAGGAATTTTGTAAGGTTCTTCCCCTGTTGAAATGAGGTTTCTGCATCTCAAAGTATAAGGAAATCCTACTCCTCAAGTAGCAATAAACCTCGAAAAAATATATTTTAAAGTACTGCTTAGAAATTCTCATGCTGAAAATATTATAAAATGCTCCAAATCTATCTGGGGAGATATTCTCCTGTTAACTAATTCCCAATTTAAATTGATGAAGTTTCCAATTCCAATGAAATGTCTACAGACAAAATGTTAATTGCCTGCGGCTACAAGTGCTAAATACTGCAGATGCTGGAAATATAAGATAAGCTGAAAATGCCAGAAGTATCCAGCAAGTTAGGCAGCATCTGTGGAAAGAGAAATATAGGACTGAATTTTACTATTTTAGTCTAATGGTGAGTTATTTCAAGATTTTTGGAAGGTTTTATGCTGCGAGGCCAACAAGATTTCTTACTGTATCGTATCAAACTCTCCTCATAAACTATTTACCTCACCCATATGGTTACCCTGTCATCTGATTTCAGCCCTATTTTGCCATTCATCATCTGCTAAACAACTCACCACTGAATTGAATTGAATTAGCTTTATTGTCACGTACTCAAATGAGTACAGTGAAAAGTTTACAGTTGCCGTATTACAGGTGCTATCTTACGTACAAAGGTACAGATGCTTAAGATCAAATTCTTAGGAAACAAAAACAAAATAGTAGAGTAAAGAAATAAATAGAAAATGTAATGGGTGATAGCAATAAATTAGAAAAATAAAGAAATTAAATGCCCTAGTCCATGCTGGCACCTAGCCTCAAGGGAGGCCTCCTTCCCTCGCTGCCGCCTGCACTGGGTCCACCGACATAGGGATCGTCCCACTTTAGGTGCCATCTCTTTGCTGCTGAGCCCACTCCACTGACAACGTTGAACTTACACTCACCGTGCAACCAAGAATCCCTGCCTCTGCTGCCAGGCCAGGCCGCCACTAGGCCATGAGTCCCACTTTGGCTGCAGAAGGTGCCTTGCTGGTGCTGCCATCTTGAAGAGTTCACTGCTGCTGGCACCACGGTCCCCAACCTCTGGAGGAGCTTTGCCACTGCCTCTAGCCTCAAATACTGGGAGAACGACCTCGCTGCTGCTGCCGCCGCCACAGGCCCCGAACGTGTGGAGAATGACTTCACTGCTGCTGCTATTGCCTCCTTACTGCCTCTCTGCATGCAGCCAGTGCTGCCGACCAACCCACCACAGAAAAGAGAAAACAAACCAAAAGAAAAGGAAAATAAAGCATAAAAGCAAGTGGGCCCTAGGCAAGAGCCTGCATGCAGCCTTGTTACTCTGCGCCATCTTGCACCAAATGCCATGATTGATTCCTGGTGTCAGTGCCAAATTTAAAAGACCACCAGACGCCCAGACAAGCGCGAATAGTCTGGAACTTGACTGCAAGATCCTTGACATTTGCCCCCAGATCTTGCGGAGAGGGATCTAGATGTCCTGCTGGATAGGATGGTATGCAGGCAGGATGTCCTCTTCCCTCAAGATCAGCAGAGGAGGCCATGACAGCAAATTGAGAGAGCCTGGTCAGAAATTACCACCCAGATCAGTGTGGACTCAACCATCTGGAAGATTGAGCAGTGATGTATGAAGAACATCAATTACCTTCTTCGCTGTGCTAGCGCAAATGCCATCATATTCTCCTTGAGACCTCTTCCTCAATCTCTCTCTGCTGGTGTGCTCACCTCTAACTCAGATGGATGCTCTTCCAACCTCGTTATTGCCCCCAACATCTTCCCTGACTTGCAGTCATTCACTCAATACGGACATGACTAACCCTGCATGCCCTCTGAGCTGCCTACTCACTTGCTTCTGATTTTCCACACCTGCACCAAATGTAGTTTTGCTACCCACTCATCTCCCACATGACTGTCTGCAATTCTGAAAGGAAAACAGCCCATAGTAGGGCTGAAATAATAAAGATGACTGGAGTGCTGCCTGAACCTTGCTTCTCACCCATTACAAGGAGATAGTTCTGTTTTGGACCACAATAAGTGGTTGATTAACCATGTCTAAGACCCTCCACTGATATGGGAAGCTTTTTGAGTTCATGTGCTGGGATCCCCTGACGAAAGGCTATGTCTGTTGACTTGATTCAGGCTTACTCATAACCATGACAAGCTTCCTGGCTTTGTCTCTGCACTAATGAAAGGCAACACAGCAATGTTGTGAGCCCAGTCTCTCTGGCTGAGTGGTAAAGTGTGGAAAGGGAGAGCAAGGCAATGCAGGCATTGAGGTAGGCTCAGAGTGAGTGAGTGATAGGAGAACAACCAAACAGTTTGGAGAATAAACAAAAACAGAAGTTGCTGGAAAAGCTCAGCAGGTCTAGCAACCTCTGTGAAGGGAAATCAGAGTTAACATTTTGGGTCCAGTGACCCTTCCTCGGAACCAGGCCGGAGAAGAAGCTTGGTCAAGTCAAGTGAACTGGGTGCATGTCCTTGAGCTCAGTGTCCTTGCAGCAGCATTAAAATGATCGCTGTTGCTGCATCTTGAGGTACAGCAACGAAGTGCAGAAGTATCCTGTAAGTGGTTTGAAGATGTGGTGTGAGCTTCCTAGAGCATGATGCATATTGAATGCCCAACATCTGTGGATGTGAAATGCTTGTGGCTAGTGGAGCACACTCTGAGAACCTGGTACCCTGTGTCTAATATGGAAATCCTTTGGGGCAAGTGCCAAGCTGAAGTCACTGGGATCTGCTCTCATTTCCACGTTGAGAATTCTTGATGTTTATCTCGTTGAGCGCATTTGGTAAGATAGGAAGTTTAATATTAATGAGTGAAGTTTCAGCATTAATAAGATTTTTAATAAGCTACTATCGCCCTCTAATTGGAAACTCACTGCTGCCCAGTGAGAGCCTCACTTTGTCACTCAACAAATGCCTAAGAGATGTAGGGAATTGCTCAAGAAGATGTGAAAGGCTTCACTGGGCTTCTCGTGCTATTCTGCCATTAATCTCACCATAACCCATGTTGTTTAGCACGTTATAAGATTCCTCCCATTATTACCATTTGAGATCATTTGTTAGAACTGGTGAGTTCTAACGAAAGCTTAAAATTTAAAACATCTATTCTGCACAGGTGCTTCCAAATCTGCTGAGCAGTTTCAGTAATTTCTTTTTATGATGGCAATGCCATGTTCTTTGTGTTTTTATTTTATATGTGCATATTGTTTTGCTGCTTCAGTCATCAATTGCAATAAGTTAATATTAATCTTTTAGAACTGTCTCTAGTAATATGCATATATAACCCAGTAAATGGGACCTTCTATAGACTTGAGAAAAGCATATGTGTGAAATTACCCAGTATATTTTGTGCTGTATTACTTAATTGTAAGTGCAAATTGACTCTGGTTATTTGCTTCTACTGTTTTGAAATTGAGAATTATTGAGTTTTTGCTTTTTGTACTATTGGGTTATCCAACGATAGTCCTCAATGTCAGTCTGCCATTGCTTGGCCTGACTATTTACTGCACAAATAAACTGTCCCCTGAATGGTTAGTCTCAGAAGGTCTTGTTGTACTTCTTTATCATCTGTTACACCATCATCCACAACCCCTAACATGAAAAATAATAGAAAGAAAGAACTAGAAGAGGACTAAGCAACAAGTGAATAAATAATGACGTGTTATCAAAGATTTTGTTATGCACTCATTGGGACAATTTGGAAGAAATACCAAAGTAAAGGGAAAATAACATTCATACTCTGAGAGGAGAGTGCTGATTGTCAAGTGGACTCTGATCAGTAGAGGTATTGCTGCAGAGAATGCACCAATTAATGATGACTGACTGTCAACTGCCAAGCCTTGTTTAAATTTTAAATTGGGCAGATTGACTATAATTGGTCAAGACATTGCCCTGAAAAATGAATCAGAGAATGGCTCTTAGCTATTTTGTTGAATTGAAACAGGGACAGTGTGCATTCTTCATAGCAAATGTCTCTACTAATCAGAGTTCAATCATCAATCAATCAGCTCTTTCCTCTTTTCTGTATTAATATTGTTCTCTCTTTACGTTGCTACTTTTTGAAAATTGTTCTGATGGCAAGATTAAAAGAGTATGTCTATTTTCAGAAATTCTCAAGTTCTGTAAAGAAAAGATAAAAGGAATTAATAAGATTTGAAATGAGAGAAGAGAAAGCGAGATGGAATTTTACGAAAGTGGAAAAATCGATCCTTTTTGAAGAGCAATGTAGCTGCAATTGTAATCAGAACCTCTTTTCTGCGCACCTGGCTCAAGAGTCCAGACCTGATGGGTATTTAGTGTTTATATCTCTGAGTAGCTGCTCTCAGGCCTCCCAAATCTCTGCTTTGTGATGGACAAGCACTGGCCAGAGTAACTCATCAAGTTTACTCCATCTCGTTCTTGCTGCTCCACCAATCACAGATTCTATTTCTTGAGGTGCAGCAAGAGTGGGAGAAGGGGATCCTGTGACTGTATGAGCTGAAGAAGCCTACATAGAGGAGACAAGGTCTCTGATTGGAGGAGCAGCTCTTCGAAGATTCTGCCTGCCCCACAGATGATGCCATCTTTATCCAATTGCTTGACCCATGGTTAAATTTTGAGGATGGTTATTATACTCTCAGGGGTGAATTCATTCACTGCTTCTGTCTGAATTGAGCACTGGTATCCAGTGTGCTTAACTATTTTGTAGTATCATGTGGAGTGAATCATATTGGCTGAAGACTGGCATCTGAGTCATTTGGGAGCTATGGAAAAGACGGAGAGAGAATCATTTTCTTGGGACTTCAGCTCCTTTGCAATTTGCCTACCGACATAACAGGTCCGTAGCGGACACCATTTTCCTAGCCCTGCACTCATCCCCGGAACTTATGGACAAGAAGGACACCTATGTCAGACTCCTACTCATCGACTACAGCTCTGCCTTCAGCACCAAAATCCATCCAGATTGATCTCAAAACTCCAAGACATAGGTCTCAGCTCCACCCTCTGCAACTGGATCTTCAGATTCCTGACCCACAGAACACAATCAGTGAAGATAGACAACTGCACCTCCTCCACGATAATCATCAACACTGGAGCATCCCCCAAGGATGTGTTCTCAGTCCCTGACTGTACTCTTTGTACACACACGACTGTGTAGCCAAATTCTGAATGACACCATTGTGGTAGGACAGATATAAAACAATGATGAGTTAGAATACAGAAAGGAGAAAGAGGGCTCGGTGTCATGGTGCAATGATAACAACCTCTGTCTTGATGTTGGCAAAATAACAGAACTGATCATTGACTTAAGGAAGAAAGGAGGAGAACATGCCCCCTTCTACATCAACGGAGCTGAGATGGAGAGGGTTGAGAGCATCATGTTCCTAGGAGTGATGATAACTGCCAACCTGTACTGGACTTTCAACTTGGATCCAATGCTCAAGAAGGCACAACAATGCCTTTTCTTCCTCAGTCTGCTTAGGAAATTTGGCATGTCCATAAGGCCTGTCACCAAACTTTACAGATACACCATAGAAAACATACTATCCAGGTGCATAACAGCCTGGTATGGCAACTGTTCTGTCAAGGACCATAGGAAACTACAGAAGGTTGTGTGCACACCCCAGACCATCACAGAAGCCAACCTCCCATTTACACTTCTTGTTGCTGCAGAGAGGCTGTCAACATCATCAAAGACCTCTTCCACTCGGCAGAAGATACAGAAAATCTTCCTGTGTAAACTGAACAGTGAACTTCCAGGAGGCTCATGGTCCCTTCCTAACCCCATCCTGATTCCCTACAGATCATGTACTAGCAGGATTCACCAAATAGTGATTAGGAGCACACACTGCAACTCGGAGAAGCTCAGAGCGCTTATAATGTCTCCAGTAATTTAGTTAAAATACAACATGCACCAACAGGTTGAAGAACAGCTTCTTCCCTGCTGTTATTAGAATGATGAATGGATTCTCTAACTTCAAATAATGTTGATCTTGTTAATGTTGCTTCGTGCACCTCCTCCACAGTGTGATCTGTATGCCTCACTCTGTCTAAGCACCATATGATTTGTACGTCCTTGCTTGTTATGATCTGCCAGGACTGTGCGTAAATGAAGCTTTTCACTGTACTTACGTACATGTAACTACAATAAATCAAATCAAATCAAATCCAGCCTTGACTTGTCTTTGCCAGCATTTCTGGTGGTGATGTTCATGGAGTTTCCTTCTCTCCTCTCCTCTCATTAGACACTTAAATAACTACCATAGTTCATGTCTGGATCTAGTTTAACTGCTGAGCTTTGAAATCATCTTTTGGTTGTGGGATTACTTAGCTCTGACCATGCATGCAGAAGTAGCCTGTGACAGAGCCGAGTTGTTGCTTTGCACATTATCACCTCATCATTAGGTATACCAATGCTCCTGTCATTCTCTTCTATTCTCCTCAGTGAACTAAGGACAGTGGTCTAATTTGTGCCCAGTTTTTAGCTTGTGGACCTACTTTGAGTCTTTCTTATTTAGCATGGTGGAAGATATCCTCAGTGAGAAAATAGGTCTTTATTTCCACAAGGACTGTGGTTGTTACACAATCATTGGCAGATATATTTGAAACTGGGGGATTGGGAAGAACAAGGCCAAGTAGAGTTTTCATTTAAATTGGCTTTCTTAACTATGCTGCAAACCCAATTCAGTAGAACTATGTCATTCTTGGTGATAAATATTGAAGTTATCCACCCAGAGTGTATTCCCTGCTATTACAATACTCTGTGCATCTTCCAAGTTGTCTTCAACATGGAGGAGTGTTGATTGTCAGCTGACACTGTGCCGTAAGTGTTAATCAACAGGACTTATGAACATACAAATTAGGAGCAGTAATATGCTGAAAGGACATTTCCTTGCCCACTTTTCAGTTGATACAATGAAACTTCAGAGGTTCCTGTGTCGATATTAAAGATTCCCAGAGCAACCTGTTCCCAATTACAAACCAATGTACACCACCTCCAGAGGATCTGACCTGTTAATTGGATCAAACACGCTCAGGGTGGTAATGGAGGAGTGTGGGACATTGGCTGTAATATATAATTCCGTTATTATTACAATAACAAGCTGTAGAATTTGTAGAACTGTGTTTATAATGTGGAGCGGTTTGTACACTTGTGCATTTCTTAGCTGTCATTTAGACTAAATATTTAAATTGCTTGTGTTTGAAAATGTCAACAGGAAATGCTGAGAATATACGAAAAGCATGTTGGATAAAATATGCGTATGTTTTAGGAATAAGGAGAAAATTTGAGTGGCACAGATTTTTGATGCTATTTGTATAATCAAAGACTTTTTTGGCTTTGTTTTCGGTTGGAAAGTTCCAAATTATTATTTTGTGTTTACAGAAAAAAGTGACCCTCAATACATTTTTGGACACATTGATGTCTGATCCCCCACCACAATGTCTTGTCTGGTTGCCGCTCATGCATCGTCTTGCAAATGTTGAAAATGGTAAGTTATGAAGAATTTAAAATACTTCCCCCTTGCCTACTTTTTTTTTTAAAGCATTTCCTTCATATTCTGAGAGTAATGATTCACTCTGGGTTCACAAACAATGCTTCTAGCCTCTGGTGGCTCAATTAATTGGCCAATCTTCCTGTGTAAACTGAACAGTGAACTTCCAGGAGGCTCATGGTCCCTTCCTAACCCCATCCTGATTCCCTACAGATCATGTACTAGCAGGATTCACCAAATAGTGATTAGGAGCACACACTGCAACTCAGAGAAGCTCAGAGCGCTTATAATGTCTCCAGTAATTTAGTTAAAATACAACATGTACCTCTGCTTTCAGTCTGAAAAAAGATCTCAAAATTCTTTTGAGATTAAGTTTAGTTCCATAATGAAAACTTTCAGGTGTATCACTGTTCCTTCTAAAAACACAGTGATCTGCTCAGTAAAATCTACCAGTAAAGAATGAGGGCTCCTAAAAATAACTGCTCCTCCATGCTTCATAACAATAATGTGTGCTGCTCCTGGCAAATTCAAACACACCATTCTCCATGTTATTTCTCTCCTATCCCATCTCTCAACAATCTGAAACAACTTGCATTTTTATATTGATTTTCATTTGTCACTGTTATGTAGTCAAATATCAGAAGGTAATTCCACGAATATTAGCAAAGGAAGTTTGACATTTGAACCCTATAAAGTGTTATTAAACCTTTTTAGCAAAAGCTTGAACAAAGATGTAGATTTAAAGGAGAAAGAGGTTGAGAAGCAGAGAAGCTTAAGGAGCATATTCTAGAGTTGAGGGCATTAGTGATGGAGTGATTTAAATTTGGCACACTCAAGAGGTTAGAATTACAGCAGTGCAGAGATCTTAGAGTGAGGAAGGAGGGGTGGGGGTTATTGGGCTGGACAAGTTCGCAAAGGAAGGGAGGGATAATAACACAAAAATATTTGAAAACATGGCAGAGAATTTTAAAATTGGTGTCTGTTTATGTAGTGTCTCAATGACGGTCAGCAAGCACAAGGGTGATGCTTGAATAGGACTTTGTGCGAGCTCAGACATGGACAGTAAGGATTTGGATAACCTCCAGTTTATGGAGATTAGAACATGGGAAACTAGGCAGGAATGTGTTCGAATTGTCCAGCCTTAGAGGGATGATGTTTCAGCAACAGATGAAATGACAGAACAGAGCTGAGTGATACTCTTGATTGGTTTAGTGCCTGAGTGCCTCAATTATTGTGGAGACTTGGCGCTGTAAAATTGCAATGGCAATACCTATTTGGGATGTGCAGTTTGTGACAGCCTGTTAATGAGTTGGACCTGTTGGAAGGATTTTGCAGCTAATCCACCCACTTCACTGGTCAATAATGCCTGATAATTAAAATCTGTCTTTTAACACTTTAGACAGGAGCAGTGAGTATTAGAAAACCAATAGCACAAAGTCACAGTGCAAGATGGTTGAAATCATCTGTGCCACACCATGGTTGTCACAACGTGATGATCTGTTCCAACTCTCAAAGTCCATCATGGCATTCTATTTGGAGCAACCTTCCTGATCAAGATTACCAACATACACCTTTAACCAAGGAATGGGAAATCATGAGCAAGTTCTTTTTGATGAAGCCCATCTATCAAATGGCTGGCCTTGAACTATTGTGGCAAAAGTGGCCCTTGCTGAAGAGGTCCAGGGGCTGCACAGCTAACTTTCACAGACGGACCATCAGTACAAATTCCTTCTGCATCTGTGGAGAGATGCAAACAGTGCTGCACGATCCTGAGGAGTGTCCCGTCTAGAAACAAAGTAGCCAATTGATCACTTTAACCTTAGCAAATGGTTATCTCTTGGCTTTTTCGATTACATTTTCAAACTAAAATAGGATGGTATATACAAGACTATAAAATGTAGGAGCAGGAGTAAACTGTTCAGCCCATTGAGTCTGCTCTGCCATTCCATGAGATTGTGGCTCATCTGATCATGCTGAACTCCTTTTTTTTGATTTATCCTTGTAATCCTTGATTCATTTATTGATTAACAATCTGTTCATCTCACACCTGCATATACGTAATGTTCCAACCTCTACAGCCGTCTCTGGGAAAGAATTCTGCAGATTCACTACCTTCTAAGAGAAGAAATTCTTCCTTATCTCCATCTAAAACAGGCAATCACGTGTATTCTTTGGTCCTAGACACTCCCACATAGGAAAAAAACTTCTCTGCATCTGTTTCAATTTTATTCTGCATCCTACAGTTTAGCTACAGCCGGGGGAGCCTATCAACTACTCCCTATAATGTCATCTTTCCCTTGTTTTATATATATATATATACACACACACACATCCTTAACCTGTATGAATTCTCCATCTTGCAGTCTAAGATCATTTCTTGTTTTCATGCTTATTCTGTCTCGTATTAACAAAACTACCTCACAACCCATTCCTTCCTGCCTGTCCTTTCAAAAATTCACATACCCCTGAATATTTAGTTCCCAGCTTTGTTCTTCTTATAGGTGCCTCCTTAATGGCTAAAGACATTAATGGCATTAACTACTATTTGTATTGTTAATTTGTTTATGTTGTCTGAATACCATGTGCATTTAAGTAAAGAGCCATTCATTTTGACATTTTGACATTTTTCCCTCCTTGATCCACTTACTGCTTTTTAAAAATATCTTGGTGCACCATGTCCCTCCCTGAGGATCATTATTTGGCTTACAATGATACCATGTACTTTGCTTTATAAACCTGCATAGCACGTCACAAGATTTACTAACACTAAAATTACAAAAATGCACATCATCCATATTGTGAAATTCTGAGGTTAAGTATTTTCAGTTCCAGTAGATACGTTGAAGGATACTCTGTGGACTAGTGTTAGGCCACTTCAAGATTCCACTGACTGCTAGGTTGTCTAACATGTTAATTGTCACTTGACCAAACTGTCAAACTATTTTTCTTTTCAATTAGTCAGAGTGTATGTTTTGCACTATTCAGCTGAAACGTTTTTATAGATGTATTTTCTGAAAGTGAGCTCTCGCCTGCTTTGACACCTCAGGATTGCAGTTTTATATTCAGTTTCTCACATTGAAGCATGATACAAAAAAGTCATTTTTTTTTTGTAGTAGTATACTGAACAAAAGCAAATTCGACTTAGTATATCCAAACAAGTTTTCCTGAAGCTTTTTTGTATGTGTTAAAAAGATCTTTCTGGTAGGATCAGCTTTCCAGGTAACTTTGCTAACTTGTGCCGATATGTAGAGACAGAGGGTGGTGGTGGAGGGTTGTTTCTCAGACTAGTGGCCTGTGACCAGATGTGTGCCGTGAAGACAGTGCTGGGTCCATTGCTTTACATTATTTATGTAAATGGATTTGGATGTGAATATAGAAGGTATGATTAGTAAGTTTGCAGATGACACTAAAATTGGTGATGGACAGTAAAGAAGGTTATCTCAGAGTGCAACAGGACCTTGATCAGATGGGCCAATAGGCCGAGGAGTGGCAGATGGAATTTAATTTAGATAAATGTGAGGTTTTGCATTTTGGTCAGGCAAATCAGGGCAGGACTTATACACTTAATGGTAGGACCCTGGGGAGTGTTGCCGAATGAAGAGACCTAGGGATGCACATGCATAGTTCCTTGGAAATGGAGTTGCAGGTAGACAGGGTGGGGAAGAAGGCATTTGACACACTTGCCTTCATTGGTCAGTGCTTTGAGTATTGGAATTGGGAATGTCATGTTGCGGCTGTACAGGACACTGGTGAGGCCACTTTTAGAATACTGCATTTGATTCTGGTCTCCCTGCTATCGGAAAGATGTTGTCAAACTTGAAAGGATTCAGAAAAGTTTTACAAGAACATTTCCAGGGCTGGAGAGTTTGAGCTATAGGGAGAGGCTGAAAAGGCTGGGGCTTTTTTCCCTGGGGCAATCGAAGACGGGTGACTTTATAGAGGTTTATAAAATCATAATGGGCATGGATAGGTGAATAGCCAAGGTTTTGTTTTGCCAGGGGAGTCCAAAATTAAAGGGTATAGGTTTAAGGTGAGACAGGAAAGATTTAAAAGGGACTGAGGGGCAACTTTCTCATGCAGAGAGTGGTGTGTGTATGGAACAAACGCCCGGAGGAAAGGTTAGAGGCTTGTACAGTTAACACATTTTAAAAGGCATGGGTACATGAATAGGAAGGGTTTAGAGAGATATGGGGCAAATGCTGGCAAATGGAGCTACATCAGTTCGGAAATCTGGTCGCATGGACGACTTAGACCGAAGTGTCTGTTTCCGTGTTGTAAAACTCTATGACTCTATAAGAGCATTACTTTATAAGCTCACAGTAAGGAGATTGAGAATGTCAAGATTTGCAGGAAATCACACATACTGGACACTTTGAAAGCCTCTGCTGTAGAGAGTAAATATATTATTTGATCAAACTACATGTAATAAATAAAATATGCAGTATGTGTGCAAAACAAAAAAAGGAGTGGCTGGAAGAAATGTTAAGTGCACAAAATAAAAGTAGCCTAAATGCTTTTATGTATTACATCTGCAGTCTTCCACCCTGTTGAATGTTCCTACTGCCACAGTGAGAGCATGATGGGTTTTCGATATCGTTGCCAGCAGTGTCACAATTATCAGCTATGTCAGGACTGCTTCTGGAGAGGCCATGCAAGTGGTTCTCATAGCAACCAGCACCAAATGAAAGAATATACATCATGGGTAAGAAGAGCAGGAATTTATTATGTATACAGGAAAGAATCAATCATCCAATTCACAACCAATATATTGCTTCCCTGAAAGGTCTAAATTGTAATCTTTTCATTCAATTTTCTTTCTCTTTGGATTGGCAAGGCATATGTTGTGGACAAATATTGATTTGTAATTGTGGTAAGTATAACCATGAAGCTACCAGCACTCACTATGATTGTACTATATAAATAGCAACTTTTCATATCTGTACCAGTGCAGTAAAACATGGGAATCCAGAAGCAGTGTTTCTTTGGACTTGCTTCCCTACGGACAGATGAGCCTCTCTACAATAGCTGCGTTGTAATACATGAAATAGTTACATTATTCTATTAGCTGTCCATTAAATAAACTAAAAAGATTGGTTTTCTGAAGAAGGGTCTAGGCCTGAAACGTCAGCCTTCCTGTTCCTCTGATGCTGCTTGGCCTGCTGTGTTCATCCAGCTCTACACCTTGTTATCTAAAAAGATTGGGTCTGGTCTTTTCAAATGTAACTGATTTTTTATTTCTCACGGCATGTAAAATTTATTTACTACCAAGTAACATCTCTTGCCCTGAAAGTTAACTTCTTCCAGTATAAAATATAATTCCTTCAGATTTAAAACCCAACCATTTTTAGTTTATTTAATGGACAGCTAATAGAATAATACAGCCATTTCATGTATTACAATGCAGCTATTGCAGACAGGTTCATCTGTCTATAGAGCAGCAAGTCAAAAGAAACATAGCTTCTGGATTTCCATGTTTTACTGCACTAGTAGAGATATGAGAAGTTGCTGTCCTTTTAGTCTAATTATGGTGCATGCTGGCAGCTTCATGGTTATACTTACCACAATTACAGAATCAGTTTTAAAACAAAAAATTCAAATAAACTTGTTTATCTTTACTTTCTCTTCTATCCCATGCTTATTTTCCCCATTTTTATTTTCTGCATATGTTTATTCATTGAATTAACTATTCTAACTTACGCTTCCTGTTTTTTTTTATGAAAACGTTTTGAAATGCCACCACAGAAGCCAGTTGCCCACCAGGAACATGCAGTGTGCTACCATCCACTTTCAATGTTGCATGTGCAGTTCTTCACCTTCAGAAGGACACTCAAGGTGTCATTCCCTACTTGCAACAGAAGCAATTGAGTAGTGATATCGTGGTGTAAGGCAGACATACCAATTGATACAATGCTAATTTTCCAAATTTAGACCACATAGGTCTGCTTGAGAACATTTGTCACTGATTTAAGATCAAAGTTTCAAATGTAAAAGGGGCTAACACTGGCATTATTCAAAAAACCACGCACCCTGCACCTTGTAGAAAAGATAACTTTGAAGCATCTCCCTATTGCAATAGTGTTTGAATGTAATCTGCAGCGTTCATTGAAGGTGTCTCATTACATTCCCGGATTTGACTGCGAAGATTGTTGTATCCTCACAAAAATAGCAGATGAGTGGCGACATGTTCTTGTACAGGCTGTAACAGATATGGAGGCTACAGTGAAATACTTGTGTGTCTACAACACAATGGGGAAATGGAGTAGAGGCTGTGAAGGGGGAAGCTCTTCCCTCTGTCAACTTGGATCCAGATCCCTTAATTTAGCTTGAGAATGAGAGACTGTCTGATGTGCTAGCCAATGCACCCTGCCTTTTGGTGTACAAACTCTTCAGTTTTCTCCTGTAAAGTGACCCATCAAAGTCCTCAGATGAATTCTGAGCAGCAGAACATATTTTTGACTTTGTACTTAGCTGAATTGGCAAACACACCACTCATGCAAGGGCACAAGGGAAGATCAATAAATGCTAGCCCAGCCAGTGATCCCCACATCCCAGGAATGACTAAAAGAAATCCTCATGCTTAATTGCAAGAAAAGTATGCGCTGGGAGTTGAGAAGGTGGGCTGTGGTGGTAACATACTGCTATTCTGAATGTTTTCAAAGAATTTAGATCTGACAGGCTCTGTTGCAGCCAGCCATAATGCAGAGAACCATCTCTTCCGTGGGGCACAGGATATTCAGGCATTCTTGTCTCCTGTCTGCTCTATTTCCTTCTATCCTTTATCATCTTGTCCTACAAAGGAGCGGGAAGACTGCCAGTGGTTGAGTTGAATTATGTTTGGGTAATCTGCCTATCATAGCTGATTAATGGAAGTATGGTGAGATAACAGTATACAGGTGTGAAGCCGGCAGCAGTGATAGGTATGTGAGGATGAGATGGATGTTTGGTTTAGTCCTGTGTACTAGGTGTGTAATAGATGTGTGCTCCATTGAATGCTGAGAGGCTGATGATGTGATGGTTAGGGGATGACATAGAAAGACATCTCCACTGACCTTGATCATCCGTATGTGATCATTAGACATTTATGGGATTTCTGCCAGATGCTCAAGTACAGATGCTGGGAATTGACTTTGCTGCCACACGCTTCCAATCCCTTCTAAGGGTTGTCCTTAAGGACCAGCTAACCCCTTATGAAGCCATGTGTCTCTCCTCCTATCCATCCACAATTCTAATGCCCTCATCACTGCTTCCATGATCTCTAACTCTCACTCTTTCTAGTGCTTCATCTTCGTTGTTGGAATTATATTAGTACTCCTCAGCAGTACCCTTCTGTAATTTTAATTCCGCTTTCTTTAAAGAGGAACAAGAACAGAAAGCTAGTTATAGCATGGAAAATGAGCAAATACTGCTCCGTTCCTGTTGTGGACATAGGCAGCCAGGAGTATGGCAAATGTTGCACGCTGTGCTGAAATTCAGAGGCAGCAACAATTTTAATGGGAAGAAGCTGAGACAGGTTGCTTGTCAACGCTCCCACTGCCAGAACGCCCCCTCCCACAACTCCAGTTTAAACCTGCGATTCTTAACAATAATTTTTCAGTCTGATAGTTTTAAAAGACATGCCCAGATGCACTTTAGAGAATATCCCTTGTATTATACTCTGAATGAAAGTAAGAGCAGCTACTGAAGGTCTGTGGGTAGCTTTGATTGTCATCAAGGGTGAGTGTCATTTGTTTGCCGGACTGTAGGCTTTCTCTTTGCAATGTTGATCATTGTTATTCACTCTATATCAGTAGTGATGACCAGAAAATTACTGATCGTTTATGGAAATTGCCATTGCATGAACAAACTTCAGTGCAAACAACATTTACAAATGAGCATCAGGTGACTTGCTTTTAAAATGTGCAATAATCCTTTCAACAATCTGTGGTTTTTAAAACAGCCCTGTTCCCATTTCTGTCTGTAATCAAAACAGAAAAATCAAAAAGATGCAGTCTTTATGTTATCTCCCAACCTCATGTACTTTAATTTTGTTAGTAACATCTTGTGTGGGATTTCAGCAAGAGCCCTCTGAAAATCCAAGTACACCATGGCCACTACCATTTAGAAGAGCAAGACCTACAGATATAGTGGAACACTGTCATCTGCAAGTTCCTTTCCAAGTCATGCAAACGACTTGAAGATATATCACCGTCCCTTTACTGTCACTGTGTCAAAATCCTGAAACTCCCTCTATACAGTATTGCCCATGTACTCATGTCTATTTGTCATCGGTGTTTTAAAAAGGCAACTCTTCAGCACCTTCTCAGTTGCAATTAGAGATGTGTAGTAAATAACAACCCAACCAGAAAAGCTCACATCCCCTTAATGAATAATTTTAAAAGTTTCATTTGTTCTCCCTTATTGGCTCTGCTAATAACATTCTGTAATAATTCTATCAGGTTTAACTAACATGACTTCCCTTTCATAAATCCATGTTTATTCTGTCCAATCGGATGATCATTTTCTAAATATGTAGTACTCACATTCATAATATTTTCCCTACTACTGCTGTCAGGCCAATAGTTCTGTAGTTCCCTACATTCTCGCCATTCTTTCTGTGAGGTGAAGTTACATTTGCAACTTTCCAATCTACAGGCACTGTTGCCCAATTAATAGAATTTTGATAGATGATTATCAATGCATCCATTAATCTTTATAGCCATTTCTTTCAGCACTCCATGGTGAAGGTCATGAAGGCCTGGGGTTTGTCAATTTGCAGTCCCATTAATTTCTCCAACACATCTTTTTACTGAGATTATTTTTTTTTTAGTTCCACATTCTCACCAGACTTTTGGATTTTAATCATTACAGGTTGACATCTAATGGGAAGGCAGATACAGAGTAATTATTATTCTATTTCCCTCTTTCCCTATTATAAATTCTTCTCTCCCTGCCTGAAATGGACCCACATTTGCCTCTGTTAGTCTTTTACATTCTACTTTTATGAGTTTTACAATTCCTTTTTGTTTCTTGCCAGTTTAGATTTATATTCTCTCTCTCCTTGCCTCCTTTGCTGAATTTTAAAATTCTCCCAAACCTTGGGTTTCTAACATCTTGTAGCAATCTCTTCTTTTGATCTAATGCTATCACTAACTTCCCTTGTAAACCGTGGTGCTTTTGCTTTTCCTGTTGAGTATTTTAGCGTTAAAGGAATATATGTTGATGTAAAAGCCAAGCATTAATTTTTAATAGTCATTGCCTATGTATCATCAAAATGTGAATACATTTTTCTAATCTTAGACAGCCACATTCTTCCTCATATCTTCATAGTTGCCCTTGTTTAGACTTAGGAAACTGAACAGCCCTCTGCATAACCAATGATGGTAGCCAAATGCCAAGTAGCTTATAAAGTGATAATTGATAAATTTTTCTTAAATTATTTGCTAAATAAAAGTTCAAGGGTGTTAGGGAAGCTAGGAGAAATTGAAGTAAACAGACAGCACTTTCACAGGCTCAGTGGGCACTTTCTGTAATTTATATTGCTATCACTCTTGAGTTTCCCATTTAATTTGGTGACTTCTAATACTTTTCCCCCTTATCCTGTTCCATCCTGAATCCACACTGAAATAACAAAAATTCGTTCATGGATGGCTATTCAACTGTTGATATTATTGCTACTTAGATTAAGGCTGTGCCCATCTGATAACCAGGTGCGTGTATTTTCAAGCAAAAATAATTGGATAGCAGTTGACAATGGACACTTGGGCTGAGTGTTATTCCCCACAATCAAAAACACTACTCAAATACAGCTCTCTGAACTGCAATGCTGCTTCAGATCAGTTGACTAATACACAGACTTGGATCAAACTTGTACTTTCCTAGTTTGAATGGCTCAATACCATACATTATGACATTAATAACTTAGATGAAGGAACCAACTGTATTGTCACCAAATTTGCTGAAAAAGCAAAGATAAGATAGGAAAGCAAGTTATGAGGAGGACACAAAGGGATGGATTTTCAAAGCACAGGCAGATGGTGAAAGTTGTGAAATTACCCAGCCTGACAACTTTGCATCAGGAGAAAGTGCCTGCAACAGCAAGACTTTTGTTCTGAAGGATGGCAGGTGTAACTGAATTTGGGCTTACCACCTGCAGAAAAATTTTGGAGGAGCTGCCAAGACAGGTTGTTTACTGCGCCAGTACTCTGATACTTTGTCCCAATTGTTCTATTTAATATTAGGTCCTCTAGTCTCATTCCTTGCACTTCCTCTCACTCCCACATGCTCCCCATTCCCCATCCATGGCGACCTTTGTCTTTTACTCACCTTGTGGCCCTCATGTACTTTGTACCTTTCCATCCATCCGCAAGAACCCTCCATGCCAACCTATGCCAATCCACCAAATCCAAGTGGCTCCTCATACTTTCTGTGCAAACCTCTGGCACTATCCAGTACACACTCAGGATAGAACCAATGAATCCTATGGTAGCAATGGCAAGTGTGAAAAGGCATTAAAAATCATTCATAACATTTTTGATAAACAATTTTACTACAACCTTATGCAAGTGTCCATCATCTAGACATTTAAGTATCGATAGAATGAATTTACAGGAACTTGACTCGTCTGCATATTGTGTAAGTATATGTTTGCATTTGACAAAATTGAACAATGTTTTCGCTTGATGACAACTGTTTTAACAGTTTGAATGATGACTGGTCTCTGGCCTAACCTCATCATGCATTCTTGGCCACTAATCACATTCTAATAATTTCAGTACAGAACTATTATCCCGTTTCTTTGTGACCCATTTAAAGAAACCACTATCTGCATGAACAGCAGAGTGAAATGAGCATAGTTAGAGTCCATATGGAGAGAGAATAACGACAAAGACTTAGTGGACTAAGGAGTTGTTTATGTACTGTTACAGTTTATCATTCTGTAAATTAAACACTGGGGCATATATAGAAAGAGGGGCTTATAATGAAGTACAGATGTGATAATTGTACTTCTAGTTAACAATTAGAGGCATTTAAATAGATGTCATAGCCATTTGTGATAATTATTTTGCATCATGGGTTAATTTTGAGGACTGAATCCTGGAATTCAGCAACTGTGTCCAGGCAGCAAGTGGACTGTGGTAACAATAGCAAAACTCATTCTACCTAAATGTTATAATGCATTGTGTTTGATAGCAAATGCTCTTTAAAAGAGAGCAGCATTGATGATGTGCCAAAGAAAGCGTTACAAATTCTCGTCCTTTTCTATTAGTTAAAGGAGACCACAAACAGTATGATGGTGTGAAGGAGAAGAAAGGAGAAGGATAAAATACATATCAAATGGCACAGTGTAGAAGTTTTTTTCTGGAAATTGTGGTGCTGTCTCGATATCTTGATACTATACAATGTTACCTTTACCATCATTATTCCCAGAAATCCCCTGCAAAGAAGCTAACCAATGCACTAAGCAAGTCCTTAAGCTGTGCTTCCAATCGTGAACCTTTGCACCCAGTGTACCCTGAACAGCCTGAAAAACCACTAAATCTGGCACACATTGTGTAAGTATATATTGACCTTTTAGGCTTTAAGAATTAATTTCCTAAGCTATTTTGTGCAATTTAGGTTATTTTCTCAACAGCTTAACGAAAGGCACTTTGTAGAGTGGATCTGTTTCCACATATGTTATTTACAAGGAAAACTTAGATTGTTGTCAAATTTAGTAACAACGTTGCATCTCTGTGTACGATCTACGTTTTCTATTTGCATCGGAAACCTGCAGGTTTTGCACTGTAAATGACACCAAAGCTACCAGCATTCCTACATAATACTCCACTGAAACAGTTGGGAATTTTTGAGGCTGTACGTGTAGAATAATGTGGAAATACTGAACTTGCTGCAAGTGATTCTACACTTCTTCAGAGGGTGTGATGTAGAGGTACCTGCAAAGAGCAATTAATGAGAAACCTGAATTGATGAAAATGTTCATTCTTCCATTTTGAATCTCACTATGTAAACCCTTGGCAAATGTCATCTTGTTGAATTAAGTGTAACTGAGTTTCTTATAGTGCAGTAACTTCATAATTCTTTTGTGTTCGTTCATGGGATGTCAGTATTTCCAATTAGACTGTCATTTATTGCTTATCATCAGTTGGCCTTGAGAAGATGGTGGTATGCTGCCTTCTTGAACTCCTGCAGCCCTTGAGCTGTTAGTACACCCACTGTGCTGTTAGGAAAAGGGAATAAATACTGTTAAGCACCTTCATTGGCTCTGAAAAGTTATTTTTAGGAAGTTAAATTTTTTTTATATATTTTTAAAATATAATTGTGTATCTTTATTTTAACTTCTGTCTAATCTAAACATCATCATTTATTCTGATGCTAATGGTGAGAGCCATTGCTTTTGTTTTGACTACATCATCTCAATGTGGAATTGCTTTATTGTTCAAATTTTTATTTAATCTTCTCAAAGCCATCTGAAAATACTTCTAATTAAATCATGAAACAGAACAATTCTTGACCTACATACATTTATGCAGAGCCATTAGATTTCTGAGGAAGAATGAAGTATCAGTTTCCACTAGTTGAACGGGATTAAACAGTAAATTTTGTTTACGTAGTTTATTATCACTTTTTTTCTGGAAGTATTTGTATTCTCAGGTTGACAGCAGAATTGATCCAACATTCCTCACTTTTATCAACATATTTGAGGCTTGCAGTTGGTGCAGCTGTATCTGGAAACTGGAAGACAAACCATTTCCACCAGTCTTGTGCTCCAAAAATAATGGACACAAGTTTGTCATCTAGGTTTATTCTTTCCTGTGATCCTTCTACTTGGTTCCCATGGAACAAATTTAAGTAAATCTAAATTAGGCTCGGTGAGGTAGTGCATGTTATGCTGTTCATGCTTTGGATGTTTATCACAGCATTTATAACATGTACTTGTTGCCAGCTGAAACTAACAGAAGTGAGGATATTTTAGGTCTTAATAGAACATAAACTTTGATCATGATTGCTGAAGTTTGAAAGAGTGTCGTGAGTCATTTTTGATTTTCCTTTGATTAGTGCTGAACCTGCCTCTGACTTATTTTGAGAGCTCCAACTTTTTCCTATCCGCCATAAATGTTCACTGGACTAAGCGCAGGATACCCAATGAACATTGCTTTGTTTGCCTTTATGTTAGAGGAGGATCACAGAGGACTAAGTGGAATAAAGGTTATTCAGGCAAATTTGAGGATACAAATTACACATCCCACAATTCTATTAAAGACATAGTAAGAACTTCTATAAAGAACTGTTTCTCCATATAGACTATTTATAGAGTTTCATTCACAACCTCCAGATGTCCTAAAGAGCTTTACAGCAATGTATGTTCAGTCATGTCAGCAAATCTGCACACAGCAAGTCTTCACAATCAACAATGTGATGGTAACCGATAGCTTTCTTTCAGTAAAGTTAATTGATTGATAAATATTGGCTAGGATTCTGGTGCAAGCTCCCTTCCTCCTGTTCACAATAGCATTGTGGTATCTTTTACACCTACCTGAGTGACCTTACCAGGTCTCAGTTTAACGTCTCATCTAAAAGCCAGCATATTTTGACAATGCAACACTCCCTCAATATTATCTTGGAGTGTCAACCTATAATTTTGTGCTGAATTCTCTGAAATAGGACTTATGAATTCACAACCTCTGACATAAAGATAACATTGAACTGAGTGGTAACAGCAAAGCTACAGCCTGATACAGCCAGAAAGTGGAGTAACATTTATGAATGAGTGATCAATACCTGTAGGTTAGGTTTTAAAATAATTAATATAAATCATTATATTGCAGCTTTGCCATAATAGCAAACTTTTTAAAATGCATGAGATGTACATTTTTCTAAAAACTAATCCATGTCGTTCTATTAGTTTTTACTCTTTATACCTCAATGTGTAGAAAACAAGAGGAACAGTTTTTATACGTATGTAAAATGTAGGTGACAGGTATAAATTTGCTTCCATTGTGTGATAATATGTTGTCATCTGAACTGTGCTAGAGTATTGATAAACAAGGCTCTGATTTTCCTGCTCTGTTCCCTAATGCAGCACATTTGAAATCCTTTTAGTATTTCTAGTTTTTGAGTCCCTGTTTTTAAATGCACCTTTCAGTATTCACTGACCATTTCAAAATTCTAACAAGTTTATTGTCATTGATGTTTTGAAAAAAAAGGAACTAATAGTGTGTGCGTCAAGGAATTTACCATTTGATTCAGCTGCATTTTCTTGTGTGCTACTCTACATTATGACTGAATAATATTTCAGGTTTGATTTCTAACTATTGCTGCATTAAACTGGTCTTGGGTATGATATCAATGTGGTGTCAAATAACCCTGTGCTCCTAAATCTGGGAAGAAAGATCAGAAATGGATTCATACTGCTGATAGCTCATCAATTGCCAGATCTTTGGAAGAGAACAGAATTGCTCAATTGTCAAGCACTCCTCAGACAACTTGGGGTGGTTTTATTGTTCAAACATCTTGTTAGGTTGCTCTGAATTAATGCATCTGTTCTCACTTGTCATTGAATGGATGGTGTTTTGTAACATATTAACCTAATGGAGTTTAAATTAGTAGGACAGTTTTGCTGAAACAATATTAGAACCAATAAATATCTGAGTTTTCTTGAAAAAGCAATGGTAACATGAGAACTTTTCCATCTATTGTGGTGAACAATGAAACAAAAAAACTTGCTATTCTTAAAGGATCATTTAAACTAATATTATTTGAGAGTTAATCATCAAATTATAATTTCTCTTATAAGATTCAAATATTTTCTACCTCTGCCTCAAGCATTCTTATAGGCAAAATAATTTTACTTGGCCCAAAGGTTCAGCTAAAAACCTCATACTTTGATCCTTATTATCACTAGAAAATCTTAAGAAAAATTACCAGGATTTTGTTGTGCTAATTATAATGATAATTTGCGTTCACTGCCTTTAATGAATAAAACTGACAGCAACTGTGGTATCCGCTCATGCGCAATTAAACCCAGAAATCCAGAATTGCTGCCAGTGACACTTTGTTACACAGTTCATACCTTGTCGTCTTTGCCAATGGAATCAACACAAAGATCAGTATGAGACATTAACTTGAACCAGCTATCCTTATTCTTTCTGTAAGGACCAATTTAAAAAAAAAAAAAAGCCATGATCATTCATGAGCAATTGAGTTTAAAACAGTATTTTGTGTCATCTGACCCTTGGAAAAACTTCTGACCCTGAAAATTTAATTTGACAAGTGTGGAGTCTGATCCCCTCAGAAATGAAAATTAATGTTTTAGAACATTAAACATGTATTTCCTGATATGCTGTCCATGAGGATTCTTTACTCTTTTTGGCTGAACAGTTTAATTGCTGCCCATCCTGATCACGAACTACACAGTTCATCTGAAGAAGCTGGAAATTCAAAAAGATACCAGGAGAGTAGAAATCCCCATGACAGATCCGTTAAAAACTGTAACTGTATGGGAAATGAGCGTAAAAGGCTTTCTTTTACCACTCACAACAAAATCGACATTACTCAAATTCAGAACAGGACGTGGCTGAAATGAGAAAAGAAAATTTAATACTTTAGTTAACTATTAAATCTAGTCATGTTATTCAAAACTTTGCTGTAATGTTGGAAACTTGGTCTACTTCAGTACCTCTTAAGGAAAAGGAATTTGTTTGTGAACATATTGAATTTATAAATGAAAGGCACATTCTGTATTTAATTACTTGCATTTTCTTACAATGTCTTTGCCTTTGTTGCTGCACAGAAATGAGTATGGGTAAGCATTGTCTTAATATTTTATTTGTGTTTTCTAGAATAAATAAAAACTAAGATACAATCTTCAGTGGTGGTGTAGTGTAAAGATATAGCAAGCACTAATGAGACTAAACATAAAATAGTGGCCAGGAAGCTTCTAGGGCAATGTACATGAGCGGAAAAGTCAGGGGTAATCCTACTTCAGCCATCTGTGGGAACTATGTCTGGATCTCATGAGTGCTGAGCAGCTAATGATCTGCCAATGGGCCAATTTAGGAGACGAGATCCCTCCTTCAAGATCTGATGGTCGGTGAATGCCAGTAGCTCTTTAGTCCCAGCAATAATGCTAGAAGCAGTGGCTACTGCTGGGATTGCACTCAATCCGGAGAAACAGCATGAATGCTGCCCTCGTCAAGTGAGTGTAGTTCTAAATATTTTCCTAATCAACCTGTTAAGAGATGTATGACACACCACTAGAGCATATGGGACTTGAACCTGGTCCTCCTGGCTCAGAGGCATGAGCAATACCAAAGCAGCGCTGCAATAAGTGGAGTTCTATTCACTGGGGATTATTAGGGAGGTTTCAACAAGTAGAGAGGGAGTAGTTTGTGAAGGAATTGCTCCTAGGCATCTCCTTGGGCCACAGAGTGCCCAGCCAGAAGGACCCTGCCCCTGAACACACATGGAAGCTTTCAGGGTTTAACAGATAGCCTTCTCATGTGATAGCGAGTCCCCTTACTATTGTTAAAATGCTAGCATTTATGAGTAGAAGCCTT